TGTATGTATATACATATATATGTATATATACTGAAAGTATAACAGCCGATGATAATATTAGAAAATAGCACATATTGTGGATCGTGTTGCATATGCCTGAATGTATTTATCTATTCTCACCGGGATAAAGAACTTGGATCCGTTGGCACGGTGATTGTTCAACCGGTCGAGGGGTGACTGTGCGAACACGTTCGATAGTTCACGGTGGAAGTGGTGACTCGGCTTTTCCGTTTTGGCGTCCATTTTGAATGATAGTGCAGTGGGCTGTGTGAAAGAATTGGCTATTGCAGCAGTCGGTGAGCGTCGCAACGACCAAGTATTTATTCCTCTATTACCGAAGATTAAATTTGGCCGAGCACACAACAAATTCACACGCATTAAGTCGGTTTGGTTAGTTTATATCAAGTTCATGTACTGTTGTCCGAATTTCAAAGTTGAACTAACTTCTTGTGGACTTGTGGTTGCGTAGAATTGATCTCACTTGTTTTAAATAAATAGGTTGTATTTTAAAAAAATACCACTAAAACCACGGTAAACGAACGCACAATCCCAACAACAACATACATACAACAAAAATATTTCCTACATCTTTTTAAATATGTGTATTTCCCAGCCCGCCCAGCGCCCCTTCTCTCCTCTATGTAGTAGTAGTAGAGAGTAGGGCCCAGGCCCCTGCAGAGAGCCCCTCCTCCGTCAGAGTCCCTCCCCAGAGCCCCCACCTCCTGGGGCTGGGGGTCCAGACTCCAGACTCCAGAGAGCACTGTTGCAGTGTTGAGTGCTGACAGCTGAGTGCTGACAGCTGAGTGCTGAGTGCTGAAGTATGAACTGCTGACAGTAGCTGACTGCTCTACTACTAGTAAAGAGTAGTGCTGTCTGCTGGAGCCTTTTATTTTTTTCCTTGTGGAATGCTTCAAACGACAGACAAAGAGGGCTAAATAAATATATTAATATTTCATTTGGAATTCATTGTAAATAAAATTGTAAGAAGCCTTGTTATTTATATATTTCTTTACTTGAAGACTTTATTTTTCTAAATAAAAATGAGTTGAAGCTGGCCAGTGGCCAGCAGCCATCAAGAAATTTGCTCGTGAAAGTATCTATTTTTTCAAAATATAGAAAATAAATATTTCGTTTTGTTTGACAAACCTTCTTCTCTTGTTTGTTTTCATTTAGCCTTATCGTCTATGATATGAGCCTCAGCCTTCTAATTGTACCATGAGCCTATGATAAATACGAGAAAAATAAAGTCCAAAAACCAGGTGTTGTATATTTATTTTCAGAATCTGAATCGCATGATTCTCAATATTTATTTTTAAAAATAACGCGAAAAATGGGTCTTTAAAAAACCAAGTTTTGTTTTTATATATCACATTGAATTTTTTTTTCGATGTCAAATCATATCCGACTGAAAATTTTATAAACAAGAAGGCTATGGTCATATGTTGAAATGAAGCCTATTGGCTGTACAAACCCTGTCCGTTTGCAATTGTTTTGGGTTTCCGATTTCCTGCGACAGAGATTTTAATTTTGTGTTTTTGAGTGATTTATTTTAAAATGCTATGTTTTGTGTTCAGCTGGATTGATGATTCTACCAAACGTGTATTTATTAATTTTTATTTTTAGTGTCCCTGTCGCGATGGGAAAGATTAGTAAAAACCGTCAGTTCCATTTGCCGGAACTATGAATATCAGTTCGGTACAGCAAATTCATGTCCCTCTGGATTTGGGCCTCGAGCAGAAATCAGGTTCCTACATGACAGATTACGACAAAATTAAAAAATACCGACAGGTGGCCAGTGCCAACAATGTATTGTAGTTTCCAGCTATTTTGACCAGCACATACCGGTTAGTGGGGGTTTCCAGAATCGGAAACCTGGCAGCAGGGACTGAAAAGTTCGTGTACACCTGGCTAATGGCCAAAAATTATATTAACCAATGATAGCTTGTATATATATTTATTTTGAAATAGTAGAATATTTCCTGAAGGATATTTACTTTTAAAAAAAGAAGGAAATATTTTATAGAAAAATATATAGCAATGTTTTCATTGGCTCTCACAACTTGTAAATTGAGGAAGAAAAGGCCCCGGTTTCACACTTGTGAACCTGGAAAATCTTTCTGATTCTTCCGATTACATTTTTATATATTTATTGTAAAATTAAAATAAACATGAATATGAACACAAACATCATGATGGATGTGAACACAAACATGAACACAAATAAATATCTAAATATTTATTATTCACACACTCAACACACACTCACACTCACAAATAAATAGAAAACATGGTTAGTTATCTCTGCTTGGTACTATTATAATCCTACATATGTCGATATCAAATTATTATTTAGAGTTTCGGAGAGCACAACTCGGAGAATAGTTAAGCAATAGTTGAGCACCGGTAGTCCTGTGAAGGTCACTAAGCAACGCAAGAGACGAGATGACCTGTTGCGGACTAAAGAACTAATCAGTTAAGTAGAATCTATGTATAAGGAAAATCCTGCTATTTACCTTGACGAACTGCAGAGACAAGTGCAACGGGCTAATGGCGGTAAGACAATATCGTACACCACTATATTGAGGATATTACAGTTTGATCTTAAGTATACACGACGGATAATGGAGAAGGCGGCCAGATATGATTCATTCGGAGGTCAAATGGACTTCTTTACTTGTCTACCATGGGTAAGTTTATGCTCTCCAATCTGTCATATTCAATATATGTGTTTTATTTGTAATAACTACAGCTAATTAGTTTTTGACCCTGTACGTAGGTTTATAGCATCTCGTGACGTTCGATCCACTTTTAGAAAGCGTGGTTACGGGCCAAGCGAGGGGCAATTGATTACCAGGAAATCTTTTTGAAAGAGGTAGTCGTATACGTGTGTTGGCCGCTAGTGACTTGTCGGGATATTTTGCATGGGCCCAAACTATGGGCACTTATGACTCGAAGACTTTCTATGATCGTTTCAAACAGCAAATATTGCCTTTACTAAACACTTTAGACGATTATACCATTAAAATGGAAATCGCCCACGATGCGCATCATGCTGAAGATGTATCATATTTTGCTAATATGATTGCGATTCAGCAAAAGCGCATCGATCAGCTATTTCAGGCCCAACGTGAACAAGACCACAGGGATAACCAGAAGTACAAAGAACAGATAGGTCGACTGAAGTCGAACTGGGATGTCAACAGTAAGCAGGTCGATTTTATAAACAACCATGACCTCGACACGCTAACCCGTACGCTTAATGCGTACACGGTCATGCTGGAGACGAATGATATCGCTCCCCAGCAATGGATCTTTGCTTTAATGCAGACGTTTAACCCTACAGGTACAAGCTATTTGATCCAGCAGCGACACCGGCATGAGCTAGACACTTGTCGTGACTGGCCAGCTGTGTGTTGGTTGGTTACATCCTTGTTAAGTAATTTTTATTGGTCATATCTAAACATACTCTGACTTTCTTAAACGATCCGTCAGAGTTATGTTGGTCTACGGCTAGCAGTGCCAAGTTAACTGGTGTCTGTTGATAGTTAATTTCTAACACTCCATCTACTAGCCATTTCTCAACTTGTTCTTTTACCAAAGCCTCGTGTGTCCAAGTTACATAGCTCCTTGAGGGACACTTTAACTGTGTAAAGTGTACCTTGGTTAAGTCAAGGCAGACATATCCGTTGTTAAAGCGGAATTTTGCCCAATCTGTGATCTTTATCTTCTTGTTAACTAGAATCAGATCCATGACTTGACTGTGTCTGACGGGGGCTTATTTGGATTCAGACGGCTATCGTCTGATTGATCCTTTAATGGATCTATGTTAGTTGGTAGACTAGTTACGGTTACACCTAGAGTGAGTAAATCACTCATTCCGACAATTG